TGCCTTCTGAGTCCGGCGTGGACGGACCTCCGGGCTGTGGAAAGAGGCGCCTCCCGCCCGCTCCGCTTCCCTCCATCCTGCTCCTAGCCGTGTGCTGTCACCCTTCCCCCTTTTCCCAGCACGAAAACTTGCCTGCCCGCACAGGTAGGGTCTGCAGCCAGTCCTGGCTATTCTGCCTAGCAGAGGGCCATAGAATCTTCCCAGTTCAGGCAGATCAAGGGGCTGAAGCAAAAGCCCAAGCTGGGTCCTGGGGCAGACACGGGACTTGTGCCTTTAAGCAGGAACATGATGTTTCTGAATTTACATTTTTGTCTTCAGCATCCAAGATGAGGTTTGAATGACATCCAAATACTGGATGGTCTGGTTCTGCAAACTGGCATCTGTTCTATAAAACTAACTTGGTGCAGGTGCTCAGCAATCCCAGCTCAGTGCCAACCTCCCACATGTCCATTCACACTGCTGTCAGCTCAACTCTTTGAGACTGTAGGTTCAGGGGTATAGAATTAAAGTTTACATGTCCATGCAACAGAGACAAAGTTATAAATGAACTGGAAAATGCTTTATGGAAAAGTTTTGCTTAGGCTTTGTTTGAGAAAAAAAAATCTATTGCATCTCTGGAGAATGATACTAGCTGAAAAACATTGGTACACTGTTAATCCTGATCAGAAGGACCACCTTAACAGTGAGAAAAGCAAGACTGTGTGTTTTCAGAAATGTATCATAATTTCCTGGAGGGCGTTTGATCACCACTGTCAGTTTCTTCTCTCAGCTGGATTAACAAAAAGGAAACCAGTTTCTGACTAACCACCACAAGAGATGCACTTAACAAGTAAACCTCTTTGGATGCCAGACCTTAATATTGCTTTGGACTCTCTGGAGAGAAGCATGTATTTCACAACAGTTGATGCTGCATAATAGGAGCTGGAGAGGCTTTTTCCATTCAGCTCAAAGACAGAGGCTTGATTAAGAAGATCTGAATCCAAGTTTTTAATACAAAACTTTGGTGTATTGCAAAACAAAACCCATTCAGTCACTCTAGTTAGAAAATAAAGTGCACAATTGGTTTATTTTCCCCAGAGAGTAAGGAGGATTAAAAACATTGTGGGCAGAGTAAGGAAACAGAACAAGGACTCAAGTTTCTTGATTGAGTAGGATACCAAATTTAGTTGGAAACAAAAAAAATGCCAAACTTGACAGTTAGGCAGCTTCCTTTCTGGAAGTGCTGAGCGAATGCCATTCTCTATCAAATACTCTTGAAAGGGAAGAAGTTCACACTGACAAATCTGGCCCTGTTATTGAGCTGCCTAATTGTGGAGTTAAGCATCTAAATTTAGACCTTATATTTAAAAACCTGCCTAGATGTGTATGTGCTGTTTACTCTTCTCAGTTGTTTCTTAATCCATTGTCTCACTTTTTTTCCCCTTTAATCACAACCACCTCAATTCTATGATCTCAGTATCCATGATTATTCCATATGCTTCAGAACACAGCTCCTTTAAACAAGTTTGCTTCTCAGTCTTTGCTTAGTAAGAAAGGAAAACACAACAGTTTTTTGTGCCAAGGTAATTAAAAATTACATTCTTATGCTCTGCTTCAACCAGAGATCTCCTCCCTGCACTTCCTGGATGAGACACAGCCATCTATGGTTCTAAAAATAATCCTGCTCTTTTCTGCAGACACACTGCCTAGCCTGCATGTGCATCCTGCATGTGCATGTTACCCACACAGCCATGCTGGACTTCTTGGAACTCCTCGAATATAACCACATGCCTTCAAATGAATGGCTTGTATTCATGTTCCAGTGAAGCCACAGATCAGAAAACATCTTTGCAATGCCAGTCCTCCAAGGAGCCTTTGGATTGTTCCTCCTACTTTCTTCTAAATATGTAATTTACTTTAATTACATAATGTTTAATCTGCCCATGTCTGTTCCTGCCTATCCATTATAAAGGCAGCACATTGTGCCTGTTTGATACTGAGCAAGTGCAGCTGGGAAGGCACGTGCAATTCCCGAGCTGACTAATTACCTCTTAATTCAGGTTAACCTGACTCCTCCTGTATTTTAGGCAAGTAAGATTTTGTGGATTGGAAGGCAGACAAGGGCCCCTATGTAAAGTCAGCAACACTGGGGGAGGTCAATATATTTATGTGAGCAATGATACAATTTCTGTCTCAATTCCAGAATTCCATAAACTGGATCATAACTATACAGAAATTACAGACTGGAACAGTAAAGGGAGCTTACATATGCACCTCCTAAAGAGAAATTACAAAGATTAAAACTGGAAAATATTAGAAACTGTGTGGCAACTAAAACAATGAAAAGGGATCACATTTCCCTTCTTTAGTCCTTGTACTGTAGATTGTAACTATAACCCCTTGGGCTGGATTCCCTACTGCTGACTGGACACTGCAGCTACACAAGGCAGTGGAGTATGTTCCACTCCCCAGGGTCACAGAATCACAGAGCAGAATCATTAGGTCCATGAGACCTTTCAGGTAGTTTTACACACAGAAGGAAGACGGGAACGATCCACGTCAGCTGGATGTAAGCAGAAACAGCAGCTTCAGTGAGACAAGCCCTACAGGGAGAGGTGATATGTTTTCATTGGACCAGCTGATACAGCTGAAAAAAAGCAGAGCAGCTTTCAGGAACACAAACCCTCCTTCACCAAGCCCAGCACCACTGGAGCAGGGGAAAAACAACAATAGCTCCCTTCTATCAAGGGAACAAGCTGTGGAACAAGCTTGGCAAAAATATTATACTGTCTGAATCCACCTTTTTTTTATGGTATTGATATTTTTATATTATTAAAAACTACTTTATACTAAATTTGTCAACTACTACAGCACAGTAAGAATGCAAACAATCTAGCTCTTGCATTCTCTGCAATATTTGCTGGGAGTGAACCCACACCCCTCGGTGCTGTTTAGCACGGGCCTGTTTGGTAAGATGTCTCTATGTCTTACAGTAGGATTTCTCATCACCCAAGATTATATCAGCTCCTGCTGATAGTTTTTTCCTTTGTATTCTTAACCTTCTGCAGCTGACATCTCAATCATCTTTGAAACAACTGAGCTGTCAAATGGAAGACTGACACTGAGATCAGCGGGAGAGCACCTGCAGGAAGAAAGTGAATTTGCATGAAGGAGAAAAGCCAATGCTTCTTCTCAGCTGCTCGATTGTAACAGTAGGAAAACAAAGAGCTGCATCTTCAAAATTAAAAGAGTGAAATTCTTTTGCAAAACATAACACATATTTCCACTATATATACACAATAGCTTTTCATTTGTTAAAATAATTTTCTTTCTTGTTTTCTTGTTAAACAGGGAATTTGGGTTTTGAAAGCCTAAAATAAAATTTGAAGAAGAAAAAAAACCCTTAACACAAACACCTGCAAGTCTTTAATCCAACTCCATTTGTTTCATAATATAGGTAAGACATAACTATTTAACTGGAAGCAAAACTGACATCTTGTAAGAAAAATCTCAGTGTGAAAGATGATAGGAGGGACTAAGTCCTGCTCTCTGAATTACCTTAACCTGCAAGCCTATTGTAAAAAGCAGGAACATAAAAAGCAGAAGTTAAAAAGCTCTCACCAATCAGTGAGCCCTCTTCCTTTCCCAAGTACACTGGTGAATTTTAGGCCAGATGTTTGTAGTCACTGCTGAACACCTGAACAGTGTGCCAGTGTCCAGCAGTGCTCAAGGGCAGGCCTCTCCTCAGCAGCCCAGCTGTACTGACATATACAGCCAGCTATCAAACCCAGCATTTTGGACAGATTTTGCAGATTTGACAAACTAGATATGGGTTAGACATTAGCTCAACTCAGAAATGTTAAAAATCACTCTTTTGAAACTCTTATATTAGAAGACATTAGAAAAATAAGATTTTACATTAATATTTACCGAGTATTGACTACTACTAATTTTTTAAAAAGTTTAATAAAATATCTTTTTTCAGGGTAGCCTAAACAAAGTTTTAATGTTCCTTTAGCCCCAGACCATTGCTGGGTATTCATTTCATGAAATGAGACAGAGAGAGGATACAGTCCTGCTGAATTGCAGTTCTGTCCTGAACGTTGTACACTTCCTGCAAGACAAACCTCCTTTTCATACATGTAACAGCAGCAAACCACGCTCCTTCAGCTCAAGCCTGAGAGAGTAGCTGTTCACCCATCCAGAGGAAAACTCCTCTGGCACTCTGCCCCAGAGCCTGAGAGAACTTAGCCAGTTGTACAAAACCTGATGCAAAAGCTGTCTAACAAGAGCCAAGTCACCAAAGTTAAAGGCAACACAAAGCTTTACACTGAATATCCCTTAAATGAAGACATACTTTCTACTGCTTTGGGGAAAATAGGGAAACATTGTGGATGTTGTTCTAAAGTGTTTTTGGGGACAAGACTAGGTAACTTACCACCAGTTGTAGCAGTACCAGTCACTCACATTTTAGCCAGAATCACTTGCTCTCATTTTTAAGAGTCATCTTGGTATCTTCAGTTCCATTTGAACTACATCAATGTAGCAAAGCACTGCATGGCAGAAAAGGAGCAAAGCCTACCCTGTTTACCACAGTTTAGTCATACAAAGTATGACTATAAAGTAAAATGAAAAGCAGAAAGCAAACACTAGGGCATGTATGGTACAGCCTCAATTGCAACAGCTCATACAGGGAGATGACTACACGTTGCTGAAGAAGGCAAGTCTCGGATTTCTCTTTCAGAAAAGCCAAAACTGATTGAAACACACATAGTTAGCAGGAAAACACACTCAAGTGATGTAGTGAAAACCAGAATAAGCAAGTAAATATCAGTAAGTTTTGTAAGACTCCAGTTTTACCTCAGCACTTATTTTTCCTCATTTGTGCCATGAGTCCACAAAGTTCAAACTCCCTGTTGTATTCATATGGACAGAAATCCATGTGGTACTATTTTGTCTTATAGACCTAGACCCCCAAAGTCATGTAATTCAAACAGAAAATGAAAAAAGACAAGTACAACTCCTCTCTTCTGCAATAAGCAGGAATCAAACAAATGATTAAAAATTTATTCCCACCCTACACATGGTATCCAAAGAAACAATACATACAAAGATCTATTTATCCCACAATTACACAAGCATCCTGGATTTCATATTTTGAAACATATGACAAAATTCAAGATACTTTATTTATTAGATACAAGAAGTAAATCTCAAAAGAGTTCTTGAATGCATGAAAAAAAAATCACATCACTTAAATGACTCACACACACCTTCCAGCACCAGATTATATTTATAATGTACTTTTTAAATGATGCTGTTAACTTTCTGTTGCAGATCTGCTCCTCTCCTTAAGGAGTCTTTTGTATTTCCAGGCATGGTTGTTTAGTTCATTCTACCACTTCATATATATATATTTACATCCATCTCATCTCAAATATTTTTGTCATACAGGCATGTAATTCAGTTGCTTTCTAGCTGTTGCTTTGCAGTCTATCTACATCTCAAAAGAACTTGTGCACAGCACAAATTAATGCAAATGGCTTTCTCAGCGTACATATTGAAGGATATGCATCCAGAGCTTGACCATCTGAACACATCTTTCAGTAGACCAGGCTGTCTTTTTAAACTAATTATAGAGATCTACAAAACTGTATTAAAAAAATTATTCTTGGACCAGTACAATGTCCAAGAAAGAGTTGGTAAAGATGTAAAATTTTTCAGGTATTTGTAACTCTGAAATGATATAGATTGTTACCGTATAAACTTAGGTTACACAGAGAAGTAACTTTTTCTTAAATCAGTAACTCTGTAAAAGAATAAATAAACAAGCTTGAGAAAAGTTGCATTGTTTCCAACATGAAGACTTCTTGCCTCTATTGCAAAAAACTTAAGAGGCACAAAATATTACTTCTGTCAGTGGCTGCACAACTTAAATGCTTGGTTTTGTTCACACAATTGCCCTCTTTAAATCTGATAGAGGTAGATGAAGACAAAACAAACCCCAACATGTAAGGATTAAGATACTGCAATTAAATTCTAACCCTGCAAATCTAGTGAACATATGTTCTCACCAGATTTACGGAAAGCAGTTATTTTTTCTTTCCTTTTTTAAACTAGAACAGCACTGAGCTTCTTCCATCCACGTTGTCAAAATAAGTGCCTGATACTGTCATAAAATAATTTTCAAAGCATTTTTTAGTTAGAGCAGCAGGTCCCACCTTGCACTCTTCAGTCATTCAGATACATTTCCCAGGACTGTCTGTTGAGGAATTGCTGCCTCACACCCAGCACTGTCCAGACAGCCCCTGGGCCTCTCCCCCAGACAACAACAGATGACAAATGATGACAAACCTGCAGATCCCACCCAAGGTAACTCTTGGGGAAAGGCGTGGGAGCAAGGGAGGTGGTGCTGAAGGCAAGAGAACTGGGCAACCTTCACACCCCTTGAAGATGGTGACCTTTCCAAAGCCTTCTTGAAAATATTTTTTACCATGGGTGTCTGTGTGCAAGGGCTGCAAAACATTTGGTTACTATCACAAAACCAGAGATTTTATTAGGCTCACGGGTATTTACAAGATTTTGCGTAAAGTCTTGGTTTTGGCACAGAGAAAATTATAAAGCAATAACAACATTTTTCAAAACGTCAATTACTTCATTAATGTCCTGACAGATTAAAAGAAAAAATTAAGTTGAACTGTTTAGATCCAATTTCCTACTTCCACACAGCTTGGCCTGTGGCTTTAAGTTTTCTGCTTTTCTCTTCACCTGTAATTTTATCTACTTTCTTAATCTAAAAATCTATCCCTGTGTTGAAGCCATACATAAGATAGCATACACAAGAAATAGGAATGAGTGTGGCAGCCTATTTTTTAAAATGACTGGGCAAAGTATGTTTCCCTCTTCATTGTTCATCGGGCAAAAATGAGAAAGCATCACTACACACCAGAACATCTGCATAAAAGTGCCTCCAAATCTCTTCACAATGGCAATACTGGCTTGATCACAGAGACAGGATTCTTTTTCTTTCTCTCTCTCTGTACTGTAACTGTAGCCATCATGATCTCATTTGGTATGCAAAAAATGTAATTACTTCAATACAATTTCCACAGCAATTTGAAGTGTGCCTTTTTGTCTTTTAAGTTAGTGTTTTAATTTAATGAAAACGATAGGACAGACTGAGATGGCAAAACCCCAGAATTTTACATCCTTCAGTTCGTTTGGTTTAGTTACAGAATAACAATTCTGGAACTTAAACTAAAACCATAGATCTAAGTGGATGAGGCAATTTTGTGCATTCTAAAATCAATGCATATTTAAATACTTGTTTTCCTTCACAACAGTCTTCAGAAACTCTTGCTCTATGGACGCTGGGCCAATTTACTCTTATTGCTTTCCTGCTCACTAAGCTTGAAGTGGGTGTAGGCCAAGATGCCGAACAGTGTGCACAGAATCCCAAGGCCTTGGTTAACAGACAATGGATCCTTAAATAAGAGGCACCCTCCCAGGAGGGTGATGCAGAACTTGAAATGTCCAAACATGTTATACCTAGACATCTGTTAAGGATAATAGCCAATAGCAGTATTATTTCTTGTACAAAGAAACACTTGGAATTTTCATCAGTTCCACCCGAAGCATGCAGTGGAACACTGTGTTGACTCAACTCATACAGTTTTCCCAACCTCTGTGGCTGTATTTACCTCCACCTAAAGCCTTCAGCCCTTTTCACTGCAGTCTGATGGACATGCCAACACTTCCTGAAGGCAGCCAAAGTGTGAGTTAATATTCCCTGCAGGTATGAAGGTCAGCGAATGAACAGCCATTACCTATACAAATCTCAAACCAGGAAGGTTATTGAACAATTTTCCCACATAAATCAGCCCAAATGAATTCCAGCATAATTAATCTGGAGACAGGAGAAAGAACCAGTGTTACAAAGGATACGTGACAGGTGACGTATTTCCAATGATCCAGTAAATGGACAGGTTTACCATAAAGGCTATTATTCCAGACAGCAGTACCATTATCTGTGGATTAATGGACACAGTCACTAATCTGACTTGCTTTTGGCAATGTGTAGATACATTCCAGGTTATTTATTTAGTTTCATTTACTTTCAAGTGCAAAATATCAGGCAAGAAAAACATATGGAGAACAAAAATAGGAACAGTTTTGAATCAGTACAGACACTGGTGATGTATATAAGCAGCTCAGTGACATGTATATTTATGACATCCATAAATATACACTGATAGAGCCACAGGCCTTTTCTCCTTTACTCTTGCTGAACATTTAAGAGTGATTTGGAAAACCTGGATACTCATTCACATAGAGGTTGTATTCTTTAACTTTGAGATACAGTCTTATTTATGGTCACAGTAAAAACTATTTTAGCAAAATATCTGATTTTATTATTGTGAATACTTGCTATCCATTCATTAAATACAATGCTATAAGGAATGACCCATCACCGAGGGGCACATTCAACAGGAGTGAGAATATGTCACTGGCTCTTTTTTGGACAGAAGGATACTGAGAGAAACTATATAGTCTTCTTGGTGAAAATAAACTACTAATTCTAGAGAACAACCAATGTTGGCATCCTTCCACAGAAGAGAAGTTGAGAGTGTCCTTCTCTGAGTGGACAGACAAAGCTAGAAATAGGACACTTCATGCACTAGGGGAAGCTTCTGGATTTTGATAGATTTTCCTGTTGTTGAGATGCCCTCTAAATAGAAACAAGAATAGGGAAATGAATCAACTGACAGACTCGCTCCTTTCAGAGGAAGCGAGGCAGACTCAGCAAGGAGCTTTTTGTCCTGCACATGTCCCTCTCATCTCACCACAGACAACAGCTGTACAAAAATCTGTTCCGCAAACAAACAGATCTTATTATCAAATTTAACTACATCAGTGATAATTATTTAAATAAAGTCAACAAAAGCCTTACCACAGCAGAAAGCGTCCAGGGCCCAAAAATTCCCCCTTCTCCAAAGACTGGCTCGAAGAAGGGTATGATGAACAACAGCATAGCAGAGGACATTGGTGCCTGATAGTACAGCAGCTGCATAGAGTTTACCTGCAACTCATGCTGCTTAGCACCCACCCACTAAAACCAAAAGAGAAAGCTGTTAAACATGAGGAAAATACCCCATAAACTGAAAAACCTGAGCAAAAGCAAACTGGCTACTAACACAGAGGGAGTCTCTCGTGGACAATCCTACTTAAACAGGCTGTTGAGCCTTACCTTTGCCTCAGTGCAGGCCCCATGTGTTTGTCTCTTTCAAGTGAAAAAGCCAGGAGAAAATTGTATGCAGGGGCAGCGAAAAGAGTGCCTCAACTCCCATAGCCTGGGGATAAATTATCTTGCTTGAGGAAGAACAAATAGGTTGTGGAGAAAATAGCAGCTCCCCTTTATTGTATAAATTCCAGATCCTGCCTGTGTTGGGAGTTGAGTATCCTTTCCTAAGCAGGCACTGGATTCTGATCCTTTCTTCTCATTTTCCTCCTAACAAAACCAGTACACATTTTTCTTTTGTCAGTTTATTCCAGATTTAATGGATTTAATTTCAATATTGATTATAATTGACTCAAACTTCAATTTTTAAGATTGCATGCTTTCAGAAATACTACTTATCTATGGCTACGAAGACAGATGTTACACCCAAAAGGACACATTTTTCTCTTGTGCTGAAAACTGACATTTAATACTTACTCAAATCACATTAACTGGTAACATGGATTCTGGCATATAAACTTGCTCACATGTTTTAATCTAGATAATTTTACCCAAGTACCATTATTTCTCCAGTACACAAATCAAATCATCACTATGTTATTACACAGCAACTCTTTCCTCCTCCTGCCTCCAAACAGGTCAAGAGACCATTATTTATCATCTTACACACTATGGGTCAAAGAGCCTCACTTTTTTTTGTTGTTGTTGTTCTGAGGCACAGTACACCTCCTGAAAGAAATTCACGTTTAAATCTATCACATTGACATGACAGGAGTTTCTAATTTAGGAGGCTCTTACAGTCATGGTCAATAGCAAATCGGGTGAGCTATTAGAACAATGTTACAGTAGAAAGGGCTGAGGCAGTCCTTGGACATATCAATTTTTGAAATCATAATTGTCCAGAAAGGTTGTATTGTGTATTTAGGCATTAATCTATCCTCTAAAAAAACACCTTAGAATATATAAAGTCAAAACTGAAGTAGGAAACTGATAAAATGCAAATAGCTCAAGGATAAACCATGGGATTGAAGGACTGGAAAACATCCTTTCTAGGTAAAAAGCTCAAACGCAAGGCACTTGCTTCAGCAAGGAGAACATCTGTTTCCTCTAGAAAAAAAGGAGTTTTACCGCTAAAGCGATAACGCTCACGTTAAAGATAACGTGATAAAGATAACCCCAATTTTTAGCAGCAAGGAGGATCAGGAGTTTGTCTCCTAATTTGCCAGGAGTTACAGTGGATTATCATAATTTTGTGGGGGTTATAAAAAACAAATAAGGGAGCAGGGAAGGGTTCCTGGGGGGCTGGGCGCTGCTTAAGGCGATGACAGCAAGGGGCAGCATCCGGGAGCCCAAGCAGCGCACGGCTCGTTACCCACCACTTGGTACAGCGAGGTCACCAGCACGCCCAGGGTGGCGAACGCCATCCCCAGAACGCTGAACTTCACGTCGTAGTAGGAGTTGAGGAAAACACCCAGCGTGATGGGGACCTGTGCAGGGGGACACGGCGGTTTTAGGCAGGCTCGTCGCCCTCAGGGTCGCCCCTCCCCGCTCCCCTCGGCCCCGCCGCCTGCTCACCAGGGTCAGCTTGATCCGCAGAGGGAAAGTCTTGCCGTAAGCCACGCTCTGGATGACCACGATGACCGGCGTGGTCATGGCCTTGGCCAGCTGGTAGGTACCGATGGTGTTGCTCTGCAGGGAGAGGTTGGTGAAGACGACGAAGCCGCAGAAGCTGAGGGCCAGCGGCAGCACCTGCGCGGGCTGCAGGCTCTTGGGGGAGAAGGCGCCGAGCGCCTGGCACAGGTAGAGGCCGAGCCAGGTGATGGCGAAGTGCACCAGCGTGAGGCTGAGGTTGGGGAAGCCCAGCCGCACGTACAGCCACTTGTTCAGGAAGACGATGCAGATGGAGGCGGCCAGATTGACCAGCAGCCCCGCCGCCAGCCGGCCCTGCGCCGGCAGCCAGCCCATGGCTGAGGCAGCCCGGCGGCCGCCCGCGCACCGGCCGGGCCNNNTCTGGGACACGTGGGCTCGCGCCTTCCGGTGGCCCCGCCCGCCCCGAACGGCTCCGCCCGCCCGGCCGGCGGCGGGGAGGGCCGGGGGACGGCACTCCGTGTGAGACTGCGGGTGTGGGTGAGAGGGTGTGACAGGGTGTGCGCCCCCAGCTGCTGCCCAACAGCCCCGGCACCTCGGCTCCAAGCCACGAGTACCGCTCCACAGCGGGACTGGGCATTCCCACAAACACGTACAGATGTACGGCACGAAGCACGTTCTTTGCCGGGTGTCAAGAGACACCGACTCAAAAGGACCAAAGTCCTCGCCTAACTGCACTACGCGTCCTCTGCACTCGTCTTGTTAAAGGAAAGGCAGCTAAACGTGTGTTTGCACATGTAAACGGGGGCAGAACAAGCTTTCAAAATAACTACAGAGCCTCAAACGGGGCGGTTTCAACATATGATCATCGTTCCTCTGGTTCAGGATTTCATCACCGTTCTCGCAACTCCTTCATGTGCAGGAGAACAGGACAAAGTTGCCTTCTCTTCCGAAGGGCTGCAAGTAACCCCTCACTTTCGCTTTTTGGTTTTCCTTTTCTCCAAGTGTGTGCTTTCTCCTCCCCTACTTTCTCCATACACCTTCTGGTAGCCTCACTTTCCTTCCCCCTGTACCCATGCACGTTTTACTGCTAAGTAATGCTTTCAGTCTATGGGCAGTCTTTTTGGCATGTAGCAAATAAACTAAGGAGGTTCATACAATCACCAAATTTATATAAGGACATTTTAGATTAGAATGAACAAACATTTTCTCTTTTTCAAGCACTTTTATTAGGAAAAAAATATGAAAAAGGTTGTGTAACAAATAACATCTCTAAAGTTGGTCATACTTTTTCAAGTTCAAATTGAAATCTGAAGGTTGGGGTTTTTCATCCCACAGAGAAGACATGTCCAAGTAATGATTCTGTTGGTGTCTTTTGTTTGTTTTGTTAATAACCAGAATGTCCATGCTCAGAAGTTTTTGAAAGTATCTGCATGAAAACTTATGACTGAATTTCATATCCCAAAGGATCAAGATCCTGGTCCAGAAGTATCAGAGAAGATTCCCTCAGCTTCTGTAGTAGCTTTCGGAGCTCTTCTTTTGAAAACACCTGAGAATAAATAATAAAAAAACAAACATCATAAAGTTGTATTTATTTGCAATGAATAGCACTGATACAAAAAAAGTGGTGGTTAATTAAGTTACTATTTTTCTATTTGATTATTTATTTCTATTTAAGATAGTGTGATCATCAGGCATTTCAGAAGGACACTAAGTAAAGACTCGTGAGGTTAGAAGCAGCATCCAAAACCTGAACGTAGGCTCAAGATAGCTCTGTCTCATTTTGGGGTTGCTTTTCAGGCTTTTGGAGGCAAAGATGGTCATGGCTAAAACAAATGCTCTAAAGCAAAACCTGCTTATGTAGTGTTTAAAATGTAATGGAAATAAAGAAATCAATTACAATTCTACAGCTAAACTTAGAATCACAGAATCAATTAGGCTGGTAAAGACCATTAAGATCATGAAGTTAAAATTCAACAGCCCCCATCCAAAAACTAGTAACTGCACTACTCAGAACTGGTTGTCAGAACACTGGTCATTATCCTCAATATTAAAGTTAACTCTTTGATTCCTGAAGTCATAACACAAGGAAACCTTTTACTACTGCAGTGAATGGGAAGCGATCAAGAAACTTATGATGTTAAGGAACATATGGTGTCTTCCTCTCTATATAGAAGCTTTTTCCACACCAACCCACAGAGCTTTCGGTGTGAGGCAGGCTGTGCAGCCCTGCCCAGCTCACCGTGTAGAGCTTGTGGCGCTCGGAGGCGACCATGTCAGCGAGGCGCAGGCACTCCTGGTGCTGCCCCGTGCTGTGCAGCACCGTGTGCAGCAGAAAGCACATCATGGGCAGGCACAGCTTCCGCAGCAGGAGCATCTGGTGCGCTCGCTCAGGGTCCTCCTCGGCGTCCTACAGAGCAAGACAACACGTCAGTATCGTGGAAATCTACCTTGAACAGGCGACGCAGCACAACCACGCCATTGTTACTGTGAGAGGCAGAAAACTGGCCTAAGCAGCCTGGAGTGGACTCTCAGATGTGATCTGCATGGTAACTAATGGAGCAAGCTCGACATCACTTTTATTAGGAAAAAAATATGAAAAAGGTTGTGTAACAAATAACATCTCTAAAGTTGGTCATACTTTTTCAAGTTCAAATTGAAATCTGAAGGTTGGGGTTTTTCATCCCACAGAGAAGACATGTCCAAGTAATGATTCTGTTGGTGTCTTTTGTTTGTTTTGTTAATAACCAGAATGTCCATGCTCAGAAGTTTTTGAAAGTATCTGCATGAAAACTTATGACTGAATTTCATATCCCAAAGGATCAAGATCCTGGTCCAGAAGTATCAGAGAAGATTCCCTAAGCTTCTGTAGTAGCTTTCGGAGCTCTTCTTTTGAAAACACCTGAGAATAAATAATAAAAAAACAAACATCATAAAGTTGTATTTATTTGCAATGAATAGCACTGATACAAAAAAAGTGGTGGTTAATTAAGTTACTATTTTTCTATTTGATTATTTATTTCTATTTAAGATAGTGTGATCATCAGGCATTTCAGAAGGACACGAAGTAAAGACTCGTGAGGTTAGAAGCAGCATCCAAAACCTGAACGTAGGCTCAAGACAGCTCTGTCTCATTTAGGGGTTGCTTTTCAGGCTTTTGGAGGAAAAGATGGTCATGGCTAAAACAAATGCTCTAAAGCAAAACCTGCTTATGTAGTGTTTGAAATGTAATGGAAATAAAGAAATCAATTACAATTCTACAGCTAAACTTAGAATCACAGAATCATTTAGGCTGGTAAAGACCATTAAGATCATGAAGTTAAAATTCAACAGCCCCCATCCAAAAACTAGTAACTGCACTACTCAGAACTGGTTGTCAGAACACTGGTCATTATCCTCAATATTCCAAAGTTAACTCTTTGATCCCTTAAGTCATAACACAAGGAAACCTTTTACTACTGCAGTGAATGGGAAGCGATCAAGAAACTTATGATGTTAAGGAACATATGGTGTCTTCCTCTCTATATAGAAGCTTTTTCCACACCAACCCACAGAGCTTTCGGTGTGAGGCAGGCTGTGCAGCCCTGCCCAGCTCACCGTGTAGAGCTTGTGGCGCTCGGAGGCGACCATGTCAGCGAGGCGCAGGCACTCCTGGTGCTGCCCCGTGCTGTGCAGCACCGTGTGCAGCAGAAAGCACATCATGGGCAGGCACAGCTTCCGCAGCAGGAGCATCTGGTGCGCTCGCTCAGGGTCCTCCTCGGCGTCCTACAGAGCAAGACAACACGTCAGTATCGTGGAAATCTACCTTGAACAGGCAACACAGCACAACCACGCCATTGTTACTGTGAGAGGCAGAAAACTGGCCTAAGCAGCCTGGAGTGGACTCTTAGACATGATCTGCATGGTAACTAAGGGAGCAAGCTCGACATGCTCACAGCAAGGCCAGAGCCAATTGAACAGGAACACATGAAACTAAATGTCACAAAGGTACAACTACATGTGATCTGTGCTTTGTGGTCTGCCTCATGACAAAAATTCGTATTTTACCTCTCTGACATCAACCATCCATCCTCCATCGACAAACAGCAACACATTGTACATTTTCTCCTTAACATCAGCTGTAAGAGCATCCAAGAGGCCTTTCCAAATGCCATAATCCATCTGGCAAAGAAACAAAAAATAAACTACTGCAGAACAGGATAATTTCCAAGGCTATTTTAAAACAGACTGCAACAGGCAGTGCAGCCCCAATTCAAATTAGAATCTTCAGTCAGTGGCTAAAACTTAAAAGCCTGATGCTAACAGCTATTTCCATCCTTGCTTAATGCCCTGTCCAGAGAGTCACACAGGTTGTTCAGAAACAAAGCCACTAGAGGAAGATAATTTTAAACAACCTATTCTGCCATGCTTATAAAACAAATGTTTATGTTAACTGAATAGGGTATATTTTTACTGACCAGATCTGCAAAAAGAACTTCAGTCAAAACAAAACTGCAGCATCTTTCAGAAAACAAAAGGTGATAATACTTAATAAAATTAATAGCAAAATCAAGTGCTCACATTTATTAATAACACTGACAATCAACACATGATAATATTTACTATTACAATATTTTATGTAAAGCTGAGTCATTAAAAAACCAGAATTTATTGTGCAGTTGCCTTATTCTGTTGTCTCATACTTTCTCAACATAAAAATAATTTATAATAGAGTCCTTAAATAATATGAAATAGCAGTCTTCTACTTTCTTTCATTGAACTAGACTGCCTCTAAAGCAAGAACATGAAAGTTTACAGTAAATAAGGTGGACTTCCACCTACCTCATACTTCTTTTCTTTATGTTCATGGGCCACTTTTTCAGTGAAACTTGCTTGTGGTAACAAAGATGGCTTCTGTGGAGCTGAGTTCATGTGTTTAAACCATTCATTAAAGGTTTCATGGGCTTCCTAGATTGCATTGGAAACAGTGTTTGGATATTTTTGACTCATCTAATAACCAGAATGTCATTGCATGCACAGGTTTAATGAATCAAAGAATCAAAAGTTAAATCAAATAGACAAAGCTGAAGTTTCACCACCAAGGCAAAGCCACCAGTATTTCTAAACTTGGAATATTGCATATTTGAAACTCACCAAATAGGCACGAATACATAAGTGTTCCCGGATAGCATTGTCATCTTCAGCTGGAAGTGGAGTATCCATGCCCTGTTCTTCCCACTGGTTATATATTTCTGCTATAGAGTCTTGGGGAATCTTCACAAACACATCTTTTGCAGCTTCATGTTTCTTGGATGCTATGAGAATGTGAACTGGGTATCAGAGCTTTGCAATTTCCATACCTTCTTAAGCTGGCAAACCCACGCTTTTTAATAGACTAGATCCAAAGTTATATCAAATGCACTGCCAAGAGCCAATGCGAACAAAACCAACATTTAAAAATAAGTCTACAATATTTGTGAAGCTTAGTACCCAAGAACTTCCTCATGATTGCATTGCTTTGCTTAAGTGCTTCTGCCCTCTGTGCAGGATCGAATACGAGCCAGTCAATCACGTCTATTTTCAGCTGATCCGCCTGTAAAAACCAACACAGAGATTCATCACCATTTCAAGCACACAATTCATGCAACATACATTAGATCTGGTCAGGGAAACACACAAGTCTGGAAAGCATTACAAGATAGTTTAGAAAACCTCTGCCATCTGGAATAATTTAAAAAAAAATAATTTCTAAGTGTTTCCAAGATATTCAGAGCATACTCTCTCAACATTTTTTAGAGATTATGATGCATTTTCCTCAAATTTTAATACAAATACACTGTATCAACGTGTTTTATGGAGCTCTTGCTCTAATCCTCAGGGGCGTCATCAGCCTGCAACCACAGTTTTCCAACTCTTGTTGGAAACTCGTTCCAACCTTTTTGTCTTAGGGACCTTAAACTTCATACTGAATAGCAAAAACATTACCACAAATTTGCAAACAATCAGTTGCTTTCTAAACAGTACTTTGAACAGAGCCTATTAACATTACCTTGCTGTCCCTAAAGCACTGAGTTGGAGCCAACCAATGCTCAACAGCAGTGACAAGGAAACTGTCAGCAAAAGCAGTGTCTGCTGTAGCCAGAAATGCCACTTCAGCATCTTAAAAGGTATATCTGAGAGCCAAAGTACGAATCCTCATAGACCGCAGAGGCTACAGCAACACCCTCCTACCAGCTACAGCACAGGGTGCTGCTGTCCTTTCAAGGGCCCTATCTTCACTTAAAGTTTCTATACAGGTAAGCACACGCCCAAAGAGCAAGGAAAAAGAGTCACAGATTTGTGCAATATCCTCTCTTGGTCACATGGGAAGTGCATTTCCCTCATAGGGTTTTTCAAGGCAATTTTCACCATTGTTAAAAGAAAAAGATGGCTCGCACTTGGTCAGAGACTCTGTAGCTGGTTGCAAACTGGACCATCTGCTCTGCAAAGCACTCACCTCTGTTGTGCCTGTGTCTAGCACGTGGTCGTGGTGGCTGAACTCCCCAGCATCCTTCTTGCGGATGTTTTCAACAACTGTTTTTGTTATGGTTGCAACGTCCAGACCTGGGTTCAAAGAGAGCTGTGTAAGAACTATCATGAATTCAAACTTAACAAAAATTGTATTTCAGACTCCAGTTGTTGATCTTATTCCTTACTACTGGTAATTCTTATCAGTTTGTTCAAACACACATTGTCAGAATAAATTATAACCTTTTCTGCTATGTCATTTATTGCAGGTATTTTACAAGAATGAGATTTGATATAACAGAATATCAAATATGAGAATAAGACAACTAATTAGTTTTTTAATCTGTGCTGAGGATGGCATATAGATATATCTGCTAAGATCATTGATTCCTACAATTCTGACAGCAAGACTATGATTTGACAGGAATGTACCAGGAAAAGCTCAGAATAGTTCTTTTACAGATGCTTAAGCAGGATGTGCTATTTTTGAAACCTTAGCTGAGTTTAAAACAAAATGATTGAAAAATAACTGAAGAGAAGTTAAGACACGAAATCTGCAGGAAATCTGCTTCTCTGTGTATTCTGAGTAGCACAGAGGCATTGTCAAGCAATGGACAGTGTCCTGCTTCATTGTAATCCCCTTCTAGTTTCATGTACAGGCCTGGAAGTAAGTTTACAATTAATGCAAACAACCTACCATGGCTAAGAAAAAGCACTATAACTTGGACAAAAATGTAAGATATTCATAACCCTCCTAAATCCACAAAAAGGTATATATTTTTGTGGATTTAGGAAGGTTATGAGTATCTTATATAATTAGTTCTCTGAAATAATATGATCATGTCAAGCCTCAGAACACATATTTGAGACAGGCAGCTGACATTTATTTCCTGGTGTGTTTGGACAAAACCCAGAAACAGTGATACTTAGTTTAAACAATTCCAGGTTAATGAAAACACACCCGTACACCTACTTAAAGAAGTGATCAGCAAATTTATTTTATTTATCTGAAAAAAAATAGGGTAAGGAGAGTGTT